TATGTATGTATGTATGTATGTATGTATGTGTGTGTGTATGTAGTGGCCTGCCTGGTCAGCATTATTTGCTGGTTACTGAATTACTGATTTGTTGAGGAATTCGGCCAGTGATCAATCGCTAAATGAATCGTCTTCTGCCGTCATTTTATCGTCCTCTGAAACGCCGTCTGAATCTCTTCTGAATCACAGCAACTTCTCTGCATCGGAATCACGCAGAAGTGCGCTGCTCCCAGTCGAGAATCGTCTCATTGAGTGGATACAGCAAAATCGTGCTCGTCCATCATCAGCACGGCACTCATCCGCCGCCTCTTCAGCCAGCACTTTATCGTCCAATACAGCACGCCAACCTAATGTCAGCCATACAACTACAAATAGCAGCAGCAGCAGCATTCATTTTGATCACGCATTAATGCCATCTACCGATAAACTACCGTATTATGGCAAATATTGCGGTAGTTTCTCAGAGCCGGTCAGTAGAACTGAATTTATTTGCTTTTATAACTGCTGCTGAAATTTTAGGCTATTGCAGCTGAAATTTTAATGCGTTAGCATCTGATCGTCGTCTTTCACATGTGATCGTTATCCTAAATTACTGCTACCCATAAATAAGTCATCTCTGCAATGGAATCGTGCTCACATCAGTGTCAAATTCACTTGAATAAATAGTTACGTGTGCGTCGTCGTATTCGTTCCTTTTTGAGGTGGATGCAAAGAAACAATTTGGTATAAGCGGTGCTGTATGGGCTGTAGACGACAATCATTTCATTGTATCGAAATTCAATTTCAGACCAGGTGCATTGGATACAGGTAGATCTAATTAGTGACTGGTTATTACGTGTATTCAATTAATGCAACAATCAAAAAGTGTTTTATTATATTGTCACAGTATTATTATTGTTATTTTGTTGTTGTTAGTTTGTTTTTTTATGGTTATGACTGACTGTTTTTTTAAAGATGATTTTGTTGATTTAAAGCTTTCAGAGAATGTCACATTCTGGGCTGGTCCGCAGCACATAACTGGTAATGTGTTCGATGATATGCTGCCGAGCGTGAACGGCTTTTATTTAGAGCCGAAACCGATTGATTTATCTGCGGCGTTTCTATCGAAACGAATTTTAGTGAGTTTAAAATTTGATTGGTTGGGTATTATATAATACTACGTTTGCACGTGTCACAATAATGATACGTTTGAATTACGTTTGTTTGGATTAGATTAATGTGTTGTTGTTGCTCCTAATGTCTTATACTTATGCTCTCTTGATTATACTTACTATTATTGTTATTATTTACTGTTATTACTTTTATTTATGGTCCATATTACTTATTGATTACTGTTAGACTGTTATGCTTATTCGATTACATTTATACGTTGCATTGTGTGTGTATGTGACCAAATGCTACCTACTATTATTGCTGATAACTTCAAAACAATTTGCAGATAATTCAAGCGAGAGTTCGTGGTCAAATTCAAGATACTAGTAGTAGTGGTCATAGAGATAATGAAACGAACACAGCAGATGCATTAGTTGAGTATTCTAGTGGTAATGGTACAGCAGCTGAAAATTACCTGCAACTGCAAGCAACTGTAAATGATTCTAAAACTGTAGCATCTGAACTCGACGATGCAACTGCCACGTCTTCAAACTCGACTACTGATCAGCATATGACGACTGTTGCTGATGATGACTGTTGTTGTGAGTTTGCAAGCACAGAAACCACCGAGATTCTACGCACCAAATCAAGTGATACTCATCATGCTCCTACTAGTGATAGCACAGAGACTACTGCTTCATCACATTGTTGTGCTTGCAATAAATCATTAATTCGTGAATCCGTTGCATCATCATCATCAACTAAGAACAAAGCAGCAGCAGCAGCATCATCACGACCGCTTGGTTGGTATGCAGCAGCCTATAGACCGCTTCTGCTCACATTACCTGATCAGAGACATCTGAAACAAACCTATTGGCTGGCTTTGCTAGATCATAAACGAAATGTTAGTGTTGTTACAATGACCGTTTTTTAATGAGAAAATTTTGTGGCTTAGAAAGTTAGTTGTTGTTTTTCTGCTAAATTTCAGCAAATCATCAGTTCAGTGCTAATACCAAATGGAGCAGCTTTTAAAGTGCCAGCAAGCATTCGACTTCGACCGTTCACTGCAATCAATCAATCAGCATCATCGAGCACTCGTCTCAAATACGCTATCAGCTCGGGTCCAATCGAAGTATTTTTTTAACCAACGAATACACATTGTTAAATGTTGTCATATTATCGATTGAATATGAACTATCGAATGAGAGTGTTCACATTGATTGAAGGTGATCGATATGAAAACGATCGTGATCAACAATTTTACGCTCGAAACGAATGGTTTAGCTGTTTGGTTCATGTTCGGCAAAGATCTTTTGCCAAACTCGGATGGACATATTTTGCCAATTTATGATAGGTAATGGTTAATTTAATTAAGATAATAATAGCAGCAAATAGTAGTGGTAGTACGTAATAGGAGCGAATATTGCAGGACAGTGGATGAGCAGCAGCTGAAGGCATTTGATTGTGATTCACTGCGTGAGTACAGCAATGAAGAGGTGGCGTTACGTCTTCCAGACCCGTTCGATATAACCGATGTGTTTTGGCTTTCCGTATATTCGTTAGCGGAGGCCGTTTCATTGTCGCATTTGTATGTGCCTTACAATGATATGCATCTACCACCAGATTTGCGGGCCATCCCAGTAGGTTCANTGCATCTTGGCATGTTATATTCACTTAATACGTTTAGTTTATAAGAACACACTCTTTTCAGACACCGCGATGTGCTGCTTGGCATGGATCTAAATGAAGTGATGCGAATAATAATTGAGAATGAACGCTTACAAATGCATCTATCCTAAAGAGTATAAAGGGCAATATGGCAACGAATCGCGTACAAAAATCACAATCTGATTTAATTAGATCTGATTAAAATCTGATCTGATCTGATTAAAATCTGATCTGATCTGATTAAAATCGCATTCGTGCAAATCATCTATCATTTTATCACTGAAGATTTAGTGTGGTGGACAGCTGGACAGCTGGACTGGTGATATTATATTAGTACACTGTTTGAAATTGAAAAGTATTGTGATGTTTATATTTTTAATATGGTCGTTGTTTTTGAGTTGTTATATTTCTTCGGTGGTATTGCGAATGAATGTGCGATATGCGCGAACGATTTGGAGTATTTTTCTAATTATAATTATACTATCTATCATTGTACTGATGAATTTGACAAAGAAATATTTTCTTTATACTCATTTGTACTCATTTGCACTAACATATTAAAGTTTCCATTGACATTTCAAAAAAATTTTTTTTCGTCAGCTAATACCACCAGAAGGAAGATTTTCCCCAATACTACCCACAGTTTAAATATGAAGCCTAGATCTCAACTGGCTGCGGAGATATGGCCAAGAATATTTTTGAAATTTCAAAATTTTATACCACAGAAAAATTTCGAAGTTCTACGGCTCATAACGGCGCCTAGGCTGCTCATGGAGACGTGCCCTTTGAAGTGCGCATACTAGCGGGTCATTGCTAGCCACTCACTGCATGGGTTCGAGCTGAAAGCTGCTTCTGAAAAGAAGCACAAGCAAGTAGATCAGTCAGATCAAATAATTTGTTTGTGCTTATTGTTTGTTACGTTTCGTAGAGTTCGTTACGTTACTATTTGAATGGTGTTGATCCATGCGAATATTGATTTTATTTATTGATCTGATCTGAGCTCTATCAAAATATTCACAGTGCAGTTGAGACA